CGGAATCTCGATTGGCTTTGGTCAATTTGCATCACTTGTAGCATAGGCGAAGTATCCGTCCCTTAGCCAAAGTTTTCAGAGTAGCAGTTCACTCCGTACTAATTTGTGGATGTAAAACATTGGCACTAAATAGAGGATATTCGTGGGTTGCTAGTATTCGACCATAGGTGTCTTCGAAGCATTGCTCGTGTATCTTGAGACCACTGAGTGACCAATGCCTGGGCTAGGGCCCTAGGTAAAAGTGGTAAATCAGTTGACAAGGTGGTGAATCTTAACCAACTGAGGTGGTTGGGACATGTATTACGTATGTCTGCTTACCTCGACGGGTAATGTTGTCTGGTATAGGAGTAGCTTGGAAGAAAGTTATGGGCAGAACCAGCCCAATTAGTTTTGAGCCATGTAGGTGGGTGTAGACTACCTAGTTAGGGTCTGTGTGATTATCGTAACCAATGGTTAGAGACTTTGTATTACATGGCTCGAAATCGTTCGCAATGGCGCAGGTGCATCCGCTCTTTGTTTTCACTTGGGTTCTACGTTTCTGAATCCTAAATAGAGCAAGAACAAAGATTGGTGCAGAATAATATGAATTCATTTTATTTCGTTAGGTTCTCATCAGCTGCTTACATCCTAAATTATTTGAAATTCAAATTATTACAGATATTGACATATTTATACATAAGAGTGTGAATAAGGATCAATACATGTGTATGATGATGTAGAAAATATTCAGATAGAGTTAATGAGCTCATAAAATGTTTAATTCGAATAAATAAATAAAGTTAGAGAGGGAAAGTTCTGGAACATTGAAATAGTGATTAGAACTCATGAAAATAGATTAATAGTAATAAAGAAAATATGAATCAAAACCAATCATTTATGTATGATGTAATTTAAACTTCAGAAAGAGTTGGAAGATGGGGAATGACGTAATAAATAAATAAATAGGAGTAAATGAATAGAAAGGGTGGGGATTATTGTTACCAGGGTAAAGAAAGATTTATTACTGTCTCTTTTTGTATGCATAGATCTGGTTTTAAACGTTTGATTGCTATCGCTTCAGCGAATTTCAAAAGGTTAGAGTTTGATTGTTTGTTGATCACCTTGAAGGACTTCAGTATATCAACTTCATGTCCTGTATCAAGGAGATGTCTTGCGATAGCACTGCTGAATGCGTTTAATCCATTTAACCGTAAACTTTTCGGAATATGTTCTTTGAATCGGACGTAGGCTCTCCTTTCTGTTCTACCAATGTAACTGCTTTGGCAGGTACATGTAAATTTGTATACACAATTGGTGGTGATTGGTTTTGATTCATATTTTCTTTATTACTATTAATCTATTTTCATGAGTTCTAATCACTATTTCAATGTTCCAGAACTTTCCCTCTCTAACTTTATTTATTTATTCGAATTAAACATTTTATGAGCTCATTAACTCTATCTGAATATTTTCTACATCATCATACACATGTATTGATCCTTATTCACACTCTTATGTATAAATATGTCAATATCTGTAATAATTTGAATTTCAAATAATTTAGGATGTAAGCAGCTGATGAGAACCTAACGAAATAAAATGAATTCATATTATTCTGCACCAATCTTTGTTCTTGCTCTATTTAAGATAATAAAGGGAACTATGTGTATGAAGTTTCTGAATCCGTCATAATTTTTTTTATGTCACTAGTTTATAGTTTTTCATCTTCCTTTAAAACCTAAGTTTCTAGATTCCACATAATCTTCTTATTTCACTAATTCATATCTTCTCGAATAGTATCTGCAATGGTTGATCTTTTCTATTATCTTTAATACTGTTAACACTCTGGGGTTCGCCCTAACAATCTCATCTTGCTTTGCTAATGGAGTGTGCAAAGTGAAACAACGTACACACGTACCAGGTTCTACATTGCGTTTGGCTGGTATGCTAAATTTTGGGTCAACCTTTCACCAGGATTTCGTTTGCATTAATCACCGATCAATACTTTGTATTTTATATGGCAGGCAAATATACAACAAGTTTTGAACAATAGAATGAGATGTGATTCTGCAGCTTCCGCACCTCATCCAGATAGTAATAATATTACAAAAATCTTTTTCAATCAAGAATTGCGTACATCGAATTCTATTCCTATTGTTTTTCACGAAAAAGACGATTGTGTCAACTATCGTGTAAATAGTGATAAAAATCCTGAAAATTTCAATCGAAGAGTTTCAAATTGGTTGCAGTCTGATCCAAATAAGAAAGGTGGTAATCCCTTGTCATCAGCTACCAAGGTCAATGATACTGAATTAACTAATGGTAATTACAAAAGGTAAGTTATTTTCTGAATTATTCCTTCACATTTGAAGAAAATTAATGCAGTATTATAATAACTAATACGTAAACTGAAATTAGACAATGGCAGCAACAAACCACTCGTAGCACTTCTCTGCTGTGGCACAGTCATCTGAGTAAGAAACTGTAAGCACTAGATAATAGTAGACGTTATTTGACAAACAAAAGTCAGATCTATTATTAAATGCACTAGACCTTCACTTTTTCCCAAGAACTGACTATCTCCTTATTTAACATATAAGGGTCCTGTATCATGTCAGAGTCCTCAACTAAATTCGCCATCAAAGCAATCAGTAAAACGTTTGTTTCATTTTTATCGCTTCTTTACAACTAAAGATCCGAAGATACAAAAAAAACTAAAGAAAATACGTTTGTCATTGAAAACGATACGCAGTACAATTGATATAGATAGTTCAGAAAGGAAGGGATACTGATATTACATGTGGAAGTTGGCGATTTCTCTCAATAGTATGTAGTTAGAAAGGAAAATTCCAGTTGCTGCAAAGGTTGTGGAACAATTCGACTAATAACTAATAAGTAAGCGACTCGCAAAAGAAAAGATTCATGGAAAACTATATGAATACGGACGTAATTTTTATTGAAAGTTCAGCAGATAGTTTGTGTTGCTAAGTCGTCCATTTATCAAACAGCGAACGAGTTACTAAACCCTATGTTGTTCCTCAGTTTTACGTTTTTACTTTAGTACCATAAGTTGGTGCATCATTGGTCCTGTTCCGTGTTAAAAACCCAATGGAACATGTGGAAATGACTGTCAATCAGTACAGTGGACCAGATGTAAATACACACCAGTCGTTTGCTAACCTTTGTAAAATATATTCCTAACTATTCTTTTTGATACTATACTTTCATTATCTTTCTTTAGAACTGACACCCATACATATGTTGATCCCAGTCATTCAACAAACCAGCTTAATGTGAACCAGAAATTAGCTGTTCCAGAATCTATACAAGATATACACTTAGTTAATGTGAAAAAGAGAAGCGAAAACTTTCTTAATAGTGGATGTGCAGGCGATACCGATCAAAGTATTTACTTATCTTCTTTAGTAAATAAATATTTGGGTAACAAAGCTGTTGGTAATGGAACAGTGGATACAGATAGTTCTATCGTAGTCGACTACAGCTTAGCGACACTGGATTATATGAAGCGACATGGTATAATTGAATGTCATGAAAATGACAAATGTAAACAAAGTACCGCCCCAGTAATAAATAGTACTCCAACCCCTAACCACAAAAATGCATTACATAACTATACTTGCTTTAAGGCTCAAAGGGATGATTCTGTATGTACATCATCGAGCGACCCATCATCTTCCATTCCGTTTGTGTCTATGGATCCAAAATCACCTGATATACGCGGAGACCTTACAAGTGGAGAGTCGCTCCCAAATATAATGAATGAGTTGGGTCTAGGTAAATTACAAATGACACAACATGCTGAACTATGCAACCCTGACACTAAGTATCTGTCTACCTTGTCTGATTGTTCTTCAGAAAAAGATACTTCAATACGACCAACTTTAACAGTATCGGAATACTCACACATTTTTGATTATGAGCCCAACGTTATAAACAGTCCAATTCTCGATTTAGAACGATTACGATCGCTTCCCAAACTCCTGTGACTCTCGTTGTGCACGAACTGTAATTTAAACTAAACTTAAAACTGAAACTGTTTGTGATGGGTTTACAAATAGATGTATTTTATATTTTAATTTATCATTTTTTATAAAATATTTTACAAATAATGTTATATAAGGTGGTGCCTGTGTTTATGAAAACGAATATGAATTCAATACATATCTTCATCATCATTGTTTCCTGCTTGTATATTGCCATGCTGATTCTTTATCTGCTCTTGATTTTGATAAAGTTCATAAACCTGGAGGTAATTAAATGAAATATGAACGACAAGGAATACAAATGTAAAGGTGGGAAAATGTAGGTGTTTATGTAGGAACTTATACAAACATGGTAGGCAATAGAAGACAACTGTCTAGTTTTTGTCCACACAACAATGCAATCCTTTATTGATCAGTTATCTTAGCACAGCAAACGTATTTTCTATTGTTAACGTCGGAGCTGATTACCAATTTTGTTATCTCTTTGGAGGAATTGAGGGAAGTCGTTGTAGTACTGTCGTAAATTTGAAATTTGGAACCAGTAATCTTACTTTACAGTTTAACTGTGTAAATCCATATTGCTATTACTTTGAGTTTGCTTTATAATTTGGTTGTAATTCGTAATTTACTCGAAATGTTTTGCATCATTTAAGTATTCAGTTTTTCGTACAAATAGTTTCTTAATTGATTAACATAGTAAACCCTAGTGTTTTTACGCTTTAAGAATCCAGAGATTCTGAAGCGACTGAATGTGTATTTTCGAATACGAAAACTGAAGATGCATATTTTGATTGGATTTTCGACTCGTCAGAAATGCAAAACAGGTCGTTACTTGTTATTTGTAAGACCTTTACAATAACTACAAATTATATGACACTAAAATACACTGTCACTGTGTCATACATCTTCAAAACCCAAAAAAAGACTAGTTAACAAAAGAAAAATTACTTGTTGGGCTGTTGTCGCGTCTTCAGGCTTTTTGTCATCCCGAATCCGAACGAACCTCGGGAATCTCAGTGAAATACCTTTTTGTGGATCCGCCTGAAGAGTGTGTACATTAAACAAACTAATTAGGCTCATCACTTCGAACAGATAGTATATACATCGATTATATGTAGTTCAAAAAAGAAAAACTCAGAAAATCATTTCACAGATATAATGCACGAAATCTATATTATACCTTGTATTACGATAACATAATAAGACTAACATTGGGAAGAAACATGGGAATAGGCAGTTGTATTGAAAAACATTGATTATGATCATATTCCTTATACAGTTAAATCTTTAGTAAGATCGGTTTAACTACATCTAATTTCAAATATGAGTATACCCGTTAATAGCCATGTGGATAAACTTTGGATGCTAAACGTGTCACAATACGGTTGTCCGCGTCTTCTTAGAATTCAGTGATATTACGCAACACGTTTAATGCACTAGGCATAATTTACCCTGCATGTAACTTTGTGTGTTAAATCTGTGAAGTAAATCAAAGAAGAAACCGTAACTGCAGACAATTTTTATCTGCATTCTTAGTGTAAAGTTTTTCTCCAACAGCATGTCACTAATCTGTCAACCTTGTAATACCAGATATTTCGGTTTACAACTGTTTTATAGACTATCAAATGCATAGACCAAGTAGAGCCATTGACGATCCTTAATTTATCTAGTATCTGTTGGAATAATATTGGTTCCTAATATTTTGGAGATAACCAAAAACTGATAACAAACGCCAAGTGGTTGTTCAATGCCATATATAAGTTTAGAGATTATTTATTCGACAAACAAATTTACTGACAATGGAGATACTACTGTAAAACTTATTGGTTCATCACATCACTACTCAACTTGATGGTCTTAAATATGCAGGTGTGACACGTAGTGACTTTTTAATTAAGATAAAGATAGCCTCAAGCATATCCCTTTTCATATTGCAATACCTATGAAATATGGAAAGAACTTACTAAACCAGCAGCGGCTTTGTGTCCAGGTGATATACTCAAATCGGCTGCCTTTACTTCCCAAACTTGAACAGGCTCAAACCATTGGTCTGGAACTAAACTAATTGTGTATTGATAATAAGGTTTTGCTTTGTCAGTTACATGGTTCTTGAAAAACTCCGAAAATGAAGCCAATTCATCATCTTTCATTCCTGTACCAATCTGTGGAAGAAATAACCGAGAGTGAGCCATTCATTAATCTTGGAATTCATATCCTGAAGGTGGTACAACTTAGTAGGTTAGAAGTCTCCCATACATGACTCAGAACAGAATAATACAATAGATCACTTACTTTGCATATTGTCTGGTATTCTTCTGTATCTGGGTCATAGCATGCCAGCAAGTAACCACCGTAACGACCAGCACGTTTACCAGTTCCATGAAACCCACCTATCACCACTAAATCCAATGTATCACCAACACCTTCTAAATAGTCTTTTTTCAATTTTAACCAGCTATGGGATCTTTTAGCAATTTCGTAGGTAGAATTATGATCCAGTGTTTTTATCATTAATCCTTCACAATTACCTAGATGAATATAAATACGGTTATTAATTTTAATTTATTTGGTGCAGATGTTAAACAAGTGTTTTAAATATGACGATTTTGTTATTCTTCGTCAAATGTGTACTTTATAAGGTGTTTGTGAATGTGCTGTTGTTCTTATGTGATAGATAAAACTGCTGCCACTTATTTATGCATATTGATCTTCTAACCGACTCTGCATAGAGTAAACCGACCCAGTAAAGTCTATGGTACCTGCGATGACCGTTGAACAAAGGCCTAAATTATCCAACTCCATAAACCTGGACATATAAAGGGAGAAATGAACCTTTAAAATGCCGAAACAAATGAGCTGTAACTCTAAAAGTTCTAATAATACAACCGAAATATAATATTTTGAGTCGTTCTCCATGAAATAATTTCTGGAGGTGATAACGAACCAAAGGTGCTTCGGATATTATACTGACAGTTATAATTACGTATTGACTAGTTGGTATAAAAGTTCAAAGGTAATTATGTCGAGTAGTTTCACGTGACAACCAGGGAGGTTATCGAATTATTGGCTAATAAATTCCGGGTAAATGTGAATAGCTTGAAAATAATAAGTTATTAATTATATATGTGTGTTTACCCTGGCCTACGACTAGATCACCAAATACCTAGACTGAATATTATAAACCTCTTACCCCTTCCTTCCTTCATTTTTATTTATTTTCCTAATTATCATTATTTGTCATTATCGATATCCTAATCTTCATATCCATCATTCCCAATTTGTTGACCGTAATTACCTTGATAACACCCCCCTTATTACATATTATATTCACACAACAATATTATTATCTCAGTTGACAAAATTATTTTCAATTTTGCAATAGTACTATTACATTATCTTATTGTGACTGAACAGTTTACTGACCTTTATTGAATGACCTTTCTAATTTGCAAATATTACAATTTTTGAAGTATATATATATATCGTAACAGATGCAAACGTTTACCATTTTTAACACATAACATTGTCCAATTCATTAAAACATGCCTTATTTTTGGCCTTTGTAAAATATTATAATTATGGACTTATAACTGTAGAGCCTGATGATGAAGTTATTGAAAACAATTGTTCGCTCAAATATTCTTCATTTTTGAATTATATATTTATTTATTATTTCAACACATAGATAATGGTACAAAGAGGCACCAAATACATATGCGCCACACAAATCTCATTCGATATGTGTGAGGGCTGCGATACTGCCCGGGTGCCCAAACCGAAGCAGGTGGTTTTCTTAGGGGGTCACACCCCGAGCCTTCTACCTGAAGGTCTGATCCACAAGGCAATTGAGTATCGTAAGGAGATGCCGTCCCATGGAAGCCGGTGACCAACAATTGGTTCATTCGCCATTTGTTCCCGCAGGATACTGGAGCCCATGTGCACCATTGGTTTGGAATCCGGTTAAAGCGCCGGACATTCGCTTTTCGTCCTCTCATTTTCGTAAACAACACCCCCGCCACGAGAAGGCAGTGAGTAGGACTTCCCTGGCAGAGGCTATATACGCGTGGCCGTGTGAGAGTATTTCGAGAGGGAGAGCGGACTCTCCCCACTCTCGGCCGTACCAGGGCCTTACAAAGGTTTTTGTGGTTTAGAAATTGTTAGATTTACTTGTTAATCAGAGAAAATGATTTACCTTTGATGGCTTCGTCAAGAAAAGTCGCGATCTCATCTGTATCAGATGAATCAAGAGAGGTTGCCATCATGAACTCTCCAGAAATGCGTGGAAATACTTCTCTAAATTAAAAAAGACAGTTGCAGAAAACTGATAACAGAAAATACTTCACATCCTAATACAACTTTAGCGAATCTACCATTTAATGCACTTTTTCCAAGTAAACAGTAGAAAGTAATGCAAAACATAAGTTTTTATTCAAACATTTCGTCTTCACAGAAGAAAAGAACATTCAGTCAATGGAATTAATACTTTTTTAAAAGGTGTTATTAGTTAGTGATATTTTCGTGAAGAAACAGTCAGCTAGAAAAGTCCAATCTTTTGTATAATGTAAGATTACAGAGTACTTTCGTAAAATATGAAGACCATGCATCAAATACATAATTTGTACATCTTCCATCAGTTATCCTTTGCGTGTTTCATGATTCTTTCAACTTCGTTGTTATTACAATTGATTTCTGTTCACTTCTACTTAATCTTCTGCTGGTATGCATTCTGCTTCCGATTGGTACTACATACTACTTTTGTCTACCAACATAAGTAGCATACACCAAAATATGACGAGTAATAGCTCAATCAGTTGAAGTGGGAATGATATATGAAAATGATTTTTTTCCAATCGTGTGATATGGATTCACCACATCTTAAGAAGAATTACAGATGCTTAATTGCATAATATGATATATATTTACACAGTAAGTTACTGAATTAGTATCGTTAAATACAACTCATTTTAATTTATACAAATCTGTCTGTTAATCTAACTGTAGATAAATCATATAAAGTGTAGTGTATTTTTAAATCATTTTGATTTATTTTGGGAGTTAAATAAGTTCTTATCACCGGCCTTCGTATCTTTTCTTTCATATTCAAGCTGCCGTGTAAATTTAGCCTGCAGTTATTAGAAACGGCTCGCAAATCGGATCGAGAGTTCAGGTAAAAGACTTATAAGTTATCATGTTATATTAGGCGAAACTCAATTTGTGAACACTTCAATAAAAACCATTAGGTTATTTTTTAGTGGCACGTTACTGTGAGACAACATTCAAGTATAGAGCATTACATATTATGAATAATGAAGTATTAGAATAAAAATTATTAGTCAATGACTAATCTAGATCCACTATAATGTTCCAGCTACCTAATGGCGCTTACGCTAAATGTAGTTTGTTCAAAAGTTAAATCGTTTTAGCTTTTTAAAAGAAAACCAAATCTTTCAAGGACAGGCTAAAAGCATTGTTTTATATGTGTCTGAATTAAAGCTGATTAAATCTAGATCAAAATGATAGTGCATGAAAAGCGATGCGATAATAAAATGAAATTGACAACCTCAAGCTTCAATATTTGTGCAGTGTATGCGATAAAACAAGTGCAGACTTACCGAAGTATTTCTCGACGTATGCGTAATGGCTGTTCAATTAAAGATACACCATTTATAAAAAGTATATCAAATACATAAATGCATATTTGTACTTTCAGTGTAGATTCATCTACATCCTATAAAAATGAAAATACGAAAAAAATTATATGCTTGAGATCCTTAATTTCTTGTTGGCAACATAAAATTATTAATTTTCATTCAAATTAAAACAACACAGAGGTTTCATCCTATTTCTAACATCGAGTGACCATAAAAATTATAATCAACATGAAAATATAGGGAGCACCGGATCAGTCCATAAAAAAGCCTATAAACGGATAGACTAGTCAGTTAAATTCCAAACATTATCATCTTGAAATTGTGCGCACAATGAACATAGTGACTTTTGATTGTGCTCCTATAATCTACCCATCTTGTAATCCGACTACACCTTGATCTTCAAAGACGTTGGAAGCTTTGGAACTCCATGGTGTCTCAAACGTTTACATATCAAGAATCAAACGCAAAGAATATATTCTTAACTGTATATGGACATTTTATTCGAATGAGTTTTGTATCACTTGGGAACTATCCATAATACAAAAAATGTTTATTCGTTGATACGCATGGTGTATTTCTGAAGCCTGTTATTTCATTTGAGCATGCACTGGAATTTTTGTGGCTTGTGACAGATTATTCTCTGAAAACCCGGAAACCACACACTAAGTGTAGATGAGTTAATATAGATAAATCTTGGCCGACAATAACTTATGATCTTTTTCGACAGAGACAAACAAGATGAAATCGTGAATAACTACCTACGTAAGTCTTCCTCGAGGGTACCTGCTATAACTGTGAGACGGCAGCAGATTTGAGGCTAGCGAATTCTCGATCGGACCAAAGACGCACAAACACGTAGAACGACCTAGGGTTCTGATTGGCCCCGCTTCCCTGTCTAGCCCAGCAATTGAGTCCAGAACGCAAGTCTCAGCCTCGGATATATGAATCATTATATTTCAAACATACTTTGTTTATATACCAGTCAAGCAGACCACAACGTACCATAAAATAGAAAATAACATTGTACAATATTGGCCAACAGGAAAATGACACGTTAAATAAATATTGACCAATAAGATTATACCACTTCATGTCCAAGGATAACACTCGGCTTAACAGGATAATTTCTGGGATATTTTCCTGAATATCCCAGCAGTACCCTACTCTTAAAAGGACACAAAAGCTATCGAATTTCTTCAAGGAACAGGGAATCATAAAATAGTAGTTATTTAAATGAATGGTAACATACTAAAGTCTATATATGAGGAGTGACACGCATATAGTGAATATGAAAATCATATTCCGAAGAACACATTGATTCAGTCCAAGTCTATCACCAGGAATGCAGTAACGGATGGAAATGGGGTATACTATAACCACTTATTTCCGTAACATTAGTAAAATGTTTAATTTGCCCTTTTTTGCGATAAAACAACAAACCAATATTAGATTCACTAAAATGTATATGTATATTTCCTGGTAGTATATGTACAAAACATGCTAAGAGGAAATGTGACACAGTTCTAGCCAATCATAAAATGCAAAAGCCTAGGTTTATAACTATATATAGTTAGTAGTGAGTGCTAGCGCTCTTACTAGCCTTAACCACGATAAAATAATTATCAAATATTTGAGGTCTATATGTAATGTCTGTTTTCATGCTTTATTTGTTTGTTCAGTTTTCGTAGTTATCCTTACACAAGTTACTGCGAAACATGGCACGTTTAGGATTCATTCATTTTCAAAACCAATAAATACAAACAATTTTAAGTAAATAATTGTTTAGATAGATTACACACACCTTTAGAACGTTCAATAAGAAGTCAAATGCGCCCCTTTGATACCGAGCCAGCAAACAAATAAATTTTACACCGTATCAAGAGTCGATTTCAAGTGTCAGCGTTAACGTGTGACCCTTAACGTCAATGATAATGTTATAAAAATCAAAATGGATAGCCTCTTGCAGATCTTAGTCAATAGCCTATCCATTGTACAAGTGACTGTAAAAAATGTATCTGGTTCATTTAATCACTGCATCAATCAGATTTTATTTAACAAAATTATTGAGTATTAATATTTTATTATGGATTAAAGACTTGAAGGTTGATAATGGGATATAAATTAGATCAAAACATGCCACGTGCAAGGTTGTGTTGCGGTAGGCTGAGTGACTTTCTTAACCAATCAGCGCTAGTAGAGACCTGGAGAAGACTCTAGAATCTTCTTGTGTATAAATTATAAATTACTAACGTTTTTCTTATTGTGATTCCTACTTCCATTCAACTCTTTCAATTGGAATATAATCACGTTCCTGTTCAATCGTGTTCTGACTTGAAACTTTTCGAGTGAAGTAGTGTCCAAGAATACTAAGCAATGAGAGAAATTGTAACAAAGGTGATCTTTTATCTACATTGACAAAATTTCATAAAAATATACTTAGTTGGATATTTTGTTACTCATAAATGAGTGAGCATACACAGTAATCTTTCATACTTATACAGTGGAAATAGTAAACTGATGAGATTAAAGTAATTAAAAATATTTACTGAGTTTTACTTACTTTACGCTTTCGCGTTGACAGAACTTGGAATGGTAAAATATGTCCAGCTAAACGATCCCAAGCTACAACTTCCGAGTCGATAATACAACTCTCCAGTTTGTTTCCAATTATACCATTTGATTGAACTTGTCTTTTATTATCTTTAACAATTTCACCGAGTAGCTCAATTGCATGAGGCGTTAGTTTAGACTCTGGCAGAACCCTAGACATCAGATTATTTACGATATCAGGATATTTTGTCGTATTATCTTCTTGATTACGAGAATACACGTGACTGGCACCTGAAGGGAGAATATGAATCTGAAATAAATTTTTAAAAGCCGTAATTTTAGTTCGACGATGAACATAAGCTTTTAGAATTAGGGAAAATTCTGAAGATGTCCTCCTAGAATTAAATGATATATATATATATATATATATATATATATATATATATATATATATATATATATATATATATATATATATATATATATATATATATATATATATATATATATATATATATATATAATGCGTATTTATCAAGATATTGGTTTAGAGTATTTTTAGACTGTTTTGATTATAAGATTCTTTGATTTATCAGTTGCTGATATATCTTTTGCAGTCCATAAATTACAACAAACTAATCATAAACCTGTCACTCAGTTCTGTACCATGTCTTAGCTATCCATACACTGTGATTTATTATTCATGATGCTTTATAGTCTTAGATTTCATCAGTATGAATACACAAGTTTTATAGTCTTCCTGGTGCTTTGATTGATAATTTTACACGGTAAGAATATCTTATAAACAATCACTTTTTAGCATATGTAGTAACTGCGTTTGTTGAACTCATAGTTATTAGACAGAAGCAGAAGAAAATCATAACTAGACTACTATGTTTTGATAAATCTACAAACAAAACCTGATTTAGCAGAGAAAGGCATAAAATCCAATACCGATACATATTTATGTAAGTTGTGGATACTGAACAACAGTTAAGTCTTAACACCGATGTTTGCCTTATTCAAAACTCTGTCCGATTTCTGGACATTTGCATTGTATCTCTCGATCCGAAAAGCCTGTTCCACATGTACTTTTTCAGAGATTGTGACATCGGTTTGGCTGGCAGTGATTGTGCACTAAGCATCAGAGCAGAGGCGGGACTAATTGACTGAATCCTTATCAACTGTTGTTTATGTGCTGTTAGCTACCAGTTCACAAAAATGTAAATGAGCGTTGCTTGTGTCTGCATGAAGCCGTCAAAATGGCAGGTCATGTAACCAGTTGCTTCGCAAAACGTCCAGTTTATAAGCACTAAGTATCTGAAAGCTCTTTACAACCACTCGGCGCACGCTAATTTAGTCCGATTAACTGCCAGTATGAAGTTACGTGTAAAGTCCTGTGTGAAGGAATTTCGGGTAATGACCGAGAAACCTGATGGTCGGACAGTAATATCGAGTTGGAAACAGCAGTTGCTGGAAGCTAATTCGACTCACTTAAAACACTGGTATTGAGAAGTCTGGTGTGAGCAGAACAGTCTTTCGAGCTGATGGGACGACAAGTAATAACTCTTAATGACGTTCTGGACGATAGACAGTTTCACAAGGGATACTACAGCCTATCTATCACCCTACCAACGTCGGACTGTCCTGTCTACCATGGGTGGGGAACGCGAATCTAACTAATAACATGGAGGTTCGCAAGGAAATCCGACTATTAAAGCGCCGCAAGCCAACAGACTCAAGTGACTTACCTAGGCACAGTGAAGGAGGTGCAATTAGCGTTATCATGTTAAAACAATGGTTTTAGTGGCTTGAACGTTTTACTAATACAACCCTAGTAACTTCTATGCTGTGCATTATTTTCCGGTTCTGAGTTGAAAAAAGCGGAGGTGGTCAGTCTATGATATGAGACAGTGGTATGAAAGGATACTGTGTACAAGTGGCATTTGTTGGTTCATCACAATTCCTCGACTAGAGTCCAAAAAATCGCTGAACTTAGTGTCATGAAATGTAATTACACATAGTTTACAATAGAAGTTAGTGACGACCCTGATGTAGTTCCCTTTCACATATTTCATAAAAGTCGGGGGAAATCAAACGATATTTTCTGGAGGAAACGAATGAGGATGGACTGTTAGTAACTAAAACAATCGGTGTTTTGATAGTGAAACTGTGTACACAGTGTACATATAGTGCTCAGAACAAATTCGTTTTAAAATTGACCCTTCACCTGTGGAACTGTAAGCAATATGAACACGAGTTGAACTGTACTTTCATCTCAATCTTACAACTATGAAATCGACTGATTTAAACACGTAGTAATAAATATCTGCTAATGTGGACTGCATAGATAGTGTATTCTGTAATGGCCAAACCAGAATCAATGTTAATAAATTATTATTATTATTATTTTACACCAGTATACCAACATCTCTTTAACCAATACGTCCCAACGAGAATAATGACACAAATACGCAAGTTAATTTTTGTAAAGAGAAAAACTTATTTTTATTTCACGATATCAACCTACTTGAGCCCTTTCACCATCATATTTATATTCACAAGTGAAATCACATTCTTCAAACCTCTTTAAAATTTCGTATATTCCATGTGTAGGAGAAGCTAACATTGGTTTTAAAGGAATACCTGGAGTGATTGTGCATATTTGATCTAGAGATTCATGACTACTTGTTAAAAGAGCTTTTATAAGACGGCTGTAGTCTGGACAAACGCTAGATGAGATGAGAAATAGGTAGAATAAAGGAAATCATATAGTTCATAATATTTCTGAATCCAACTGAGAGAATATGAACAGCAACGCCTATTCAAACCTAGATTCATTTAACCTAAAGAGAATGAAGCTTTTATGGTTACTAATGCTCCTAGTATCAAGAAATCTCAAGTTTTATTTGAATTTTGATGTTGACATTCTGTAATCAGTTGACGGTAGTTGAGTTAATTCTCATTCACTTTTTTTCTTATTCTTAAAGGAAATAGACAAAAATATGACTGAACATGGATAAACAATTCGTCATATATTGGTAATGCTTACTTCATGGATTTTAAACACACATAGAAACAAATTCCGAATCATCTATTCATAACTCCATAGGGTGCTTGGCAAAGATGGCAAATTGGTTGATGAGGTAGTGGATCTTCATCAGCTGTAGTTAGAAAAATGTTATTTATACCCAATCACCCGCTACCTCGACGAGCGTTGCTTACTAGTGTAGAAATACATGGGAAGCTAGGAGTGGTCAAACCAAAATATGTTACTAGTTCATGAAGTCATTAACAATTGAATTAAGTCATTTCGGTAGAAACAGACCATCTAGTTAGGGTCCACTCAATAACCTCGATCAGTCGTTGAAGACTGGATGACATGGCTTAGAATTGTTCACAATTACCTAGATATACTTATCCTTTAGTTTCTCACTCTTGAATCCCTATAACCCTTCATACATACATTATCACTGCCTTTTCAAATCATATTCCCACGGCTTAGTCTTTCTTCTTATCATTGCTACTACATTATTTCGATTACTCTTGTTATTCAAATCTTATCGTGATGATCAGGTACGGTAATTTTGGACAATACACACAGGTTCAAGGTTCTGTATTAATAATATCTCTCTTTCGATCACAACCGCAGAACATTTATTATAATATGCTGTAGCAACACAATATATAGAACTTTACATTGAAGATAAGGTTCAAACCCTACTACAAGGAGTCACAGATAACCAGCGTCTATTTAAGACGTGAGATAATCAACCGGTACCTGGTTGTAAAATCAGGATGCCAAATAAAGTGAAAGATACTTAATAAATAACTTACCAATACGCCCTTTTAACATTTGCAACTGCAGTATCCATTGTAACTTTCCAGTGCTCATTAGACATACCATTAGAAGCATTAACTACTCGCGTGCTTTTGTCACCGACTTTAAAATGAAATGGCGTCATAGCCACAGCCTGACCAAGAGCTGTGAGCACCGTTTGTTCAGCTAAGCCAATACGCAATTTTCCTGATAAACTACGTATAATATATTTAGTTTCAGATTCTCGACAAGCCACTAGAAGCGAGCGAATAATTTCCACCTTTTTGTTTTGAGCCTAATAAGCGAATGGGAAAGTTGACGAAGTTGATTTGACTATCAGAATGAGAAAAGAAGTTTATTGTTCCAACACGCTTTAATAAAATCAAAGAACTGACGCAGAACAGCATGAAAAAAATTAGATGCGTAAAGATTCAAGTAGTTTGTTGTATATGCGTCATATGAAAAATTGAATCTTGTGGTAAGTTATGGTTTCATAACTGGTCACTAATCAACTGAAATTTTATGCAAACACCTAGTTAAAATTACGGTAGAAAATCTCAAACAAATAAGTCATAATAATCCTTAGTAATATTGTTGTGGATGCGAAGGATAGACCAAAACATGGCACAAATCCATGAAGTCACTGACAAGTGGACTAAGTCATGTTGGTAGGCATAGACTACCTGGTTGGGGACCGCGAGATGATAGCAACCGATGATTAGAGACCCTGAATGACATGGCTCAAAATCGTTTGCAATGGCGCAGGTGCATCCACTCTCTATGTTCTCCCAAATTCTAATCTTCTGAATTCTTCATGTCCCTTTTTTTCCTCTTTCCAAATTTATTTCACTGGATTATACTCGTTAGATAACATCTCCAAACCCTAATCTTCCCGATTACTGCTTATACTCTTGCTACCTCTACCACTACGGGATTTGAATCGACCACTGCATCTCTGTGCTAATGTGGTATGGCAACTCGAACTGATGTACGTATGTACGAAGTTCTACGTTGTTACTGACTGACTGACTGAAGGATAGACCAATAATTATCATGTTAAGTCCAATGGTGTCCTTGGACTTTAAATGGACATTTCCTACTGGTCGATATCTGTCCACTTGTTGAATATTGTACAAAATGTTGTTTTCTATTTTTATGGTACGATGTGGTATGTTTGGTTAGTATATAAATAGAGTATGTCTGAAATACAATGATTCATAACTCAGAGGCTGAGATTTGTGTTCTGGACTCAACTGGCTGGGATAGACAGGGAATCGGGACCAATCGTAACTCTAGGTCGTCCATTACGTTCGTACGTGTTTACGTATCATTGAATCGGTCGATAAATACGCTGCTCTCTAGTTTTTCAGTCAAGGACACAACAATTAGCACAGGGTAGAAATCAACCACAACTTAAAGTCACAACAAATATTCAGACTAATACACAGGTACAAGTAGGTTTAAATTCTCCTATTGATAAACGTGCCTGTTGTAGCGTTTAATCTATCTGATGAATTAATCTGAAAGGAAACTACGAGTACAAGTACAAAGCGGTTTAATCAATTTCTAATATAAACAGTGTAAGTAGTACAGAAACTAGAAATATGGCTATTAGTAATAAACGTTTAAATTCACTGAGCATAAAATGGATACAATTACGAATAAAACTTACTCCGATAAGTCAATATTCCATCGACTGGTAATTAGCACGTAAAACTGGATAATGTCACAAACCAAAGTTATGGTAATGGGCATTATGCAGTACCTTGATTTGCACAATTGTTTATTTATGGACATAACTAATGTAAGAGATTCTGTTATTCACTTATTATACTGATACAAACAAGAAGATGGCATGGATATGGGGTCCTTATATGACTCCATTCTGCTAGCAAGGTGATGGAGATAAGTCTAAAAGCAACGACTGATAAACTATCAACACGTCAACCATATGTAAATGCCCATTCAATACAGAAGAAACTGTCAGACCTTTTCCTGATTGGCATCCATCTATAAGATTTAGGATTGAAATGGAGCTGGGCTCAAAAATTACAATTACTTATGAGTTGAAAAGATGGAATATATATGGAGTTCATAAACAGGAGGCTAACATTAAGTAAAAAACTGACAAACTTCTCAGCCATAATGAAATTAATTTACCGAACCCTCTGGAATTTGAAGAAATCTTTGAAAAACAAACTGATACTTATTAGGTTTAATTGGGAGAAAAAAGCAGGCTACAAATGGAAAGCTTGAAAAGACTTCTTGTTGATAATATTTTAAAAAATTTTCAGCGATAAGTTTTAAAGAGTGATGGAAAAATTGCTGCATGGCAGACTTAATGAGGAAATATCAGTCTGCCTGTTCCCATAGATAGTGTGATAATATAAACAAAATGACCATGAATGAACTTTCGTTTCGCTAGATATGGTCAATGAAAGTTGAACTTTTGTTTAGATTAAAGCAACAAGGTGAAATTTACTTCATAGAATAAATGGCTAATTAACACACCAATCATTCTCAAAAGAGAATATAATAACTTACTGAATTTCCAGACATTGAAGCGATATCTTTCAGTTTAGAAAATACTAGGGAAATGGTCAATGGTTTTGGAGCTGACAGGATTTTCTGGCGTGATCTGATAGTCTGAAAAAATTTCATTCACAGTGAAGTTTTAGGATTATATATCATAAACAAGTTAAGATAAAAAATAAGAATACTGAACATATTGATCAAATAGGACCAATAAAAACATATTTCCATTAAAATACTACGGTGTTATTTATAAAGATTTTGTAAGATGTTAGAAACAGTAGCCAGTCGTCTAATTTTACTACGTCCTCATACTTGTAGAATGAACGTCTATTACACTCAGCTACGACTACTGAAATATTTTATCTACGGATATTTACATAAAAAGTAGGGTACGACCAACTTTGTTTTAGAAACTTACTTCGGCGACAACACCAAGATCACCATGTTGCTTCAAACTCGAACGCATGTGTTCAATCCCAACACCTATAAAAATCATGCACAGCATGTTAACAAATTCCCAATTGATAATAAAATTATTAAATCATTTAAAGTGAGTTAAATAAAACAGATGAGTCTGGGGGTTAAAAATGTCTCCAACTGTATAGTCGAAACCTGTAAATTTCTATATTATCAGGTCAGGTATATTTTGTAGACGAAAAACTCAGCGTAGCTGACTTCTTCCTAATCTTACTCCAAATTAAAGGAAACGATATCCCTAATAATGTTACTGGAATATATATCTAATCCATGTAATATAAGAGTAAAAATAACCAATATTAAAACGATCACAATTTAAATAACAGAGTTAAAACGGTCAGTAAATCTTCTTACAAATGTATACTAATTTTGATGAATACAGATCACTTAAACACTTGCTACTAAATCAGACCAACTTTGACATTTCTGTTAACGAAATTAACTAACTTTCACTCATATGACTTTGAATGATTTAAAATATTATTTTTATTAAGTAGACTACCTTACATTAAAATCAGTAAAATTAAATAAAACCATTAACCAGGTACTTGAGTATAAGTCACGCTGTGACGGTTGATAATATTACTCGGTTGCCTAAACTTAAGAAAAGGTAATGGAGTCCGAATCTGGGACTATGAACCGAAAGTCGAGTGCCTCAAACACCAAGCTACTGCTCAGGTAAATTGACATTATTGCATTTTTAGAGAACCGTGTAGAAAACAGGCATTACTGAAGTACAGCTTGGTAGTCCAGGGACCGGTTCTAAAGTGCCTTATTCAGTTAGATTTAAATACTTAAGAACTACCTCAAGCCATCACATACTAAGTGGTTTTAAGGCTAAATAGATGATAATTCAGCTTAACTACCAACTACAATCTTACGCACTGTTTCTGTAAGGGATATTGACACTACCCAGGGATTCAAAATGAAATATCTGGAGTGGAGTTCGAACCAACAACTTACTAATCGAAAGGTGAGTGCTTTAATCACTTAGCTATCTCTTCAACAACTTGGACATGAATAATGAGCCATGTGAATATTTTTCACTCCTTCAATATGGCGAAAACTGTAATTATATGCAAAAACCAAGTTTATTGCCTCTTGGAAGACAAGTTATTCACATGTTTATCAAAGTCCTTTAGAAGTTTTAACTATTTGAATTACTAACAAAAGCGAGTAAAAATACACTCGGTGTATAATTTCTTGTCAGATACATTTTCTATTGGATTTCGGCCTCATTTTGATACACATTACCAACTACTAGAAGATATTTTGGCTTTTAGTCGTATGTTAGTAGACATCAGAAGTGGTCAAAGAAAGGCGGAATTACCTGTAGTTGCGGCCAAAGCCTTTAATAGGACTGTCTCCCCCACGCCTAGTTCCATCCCTTCATATGCGGGTCCCAGTTGGTTGAGGCATAGGTAAACGCAGCTTGTCAAATCAAATGAAGACAACAAACCGACTGAGCGAAAAAAATTGCACAGCATTTCTGTTATTTTGATTCTAAAACTAATACAATTTAAATTTATGTTACCTGCCAGATGTGGCCTCAATACACTCAAATGTTCTCGCCAATGACAAATAAGGGACACTAGAAACCGTTATTTTCAAATAGTCACTAACCTTTCACCTTCTCGCCAGTTGCAATCATGGATAGGGTGATAATCCGTTTTGCTGGGGTCGTAACTAAAGAAATAACATTATTGACAATTCATACCGGGTAACTAGTTTTTCAGGACTCCGTGACGACTTTTCATTAACATTCGATGTGCTTAGAATATTGCTTGCTTCAATTTTCGCACACTGAAAACGGACTAAATTAGACTCACTTAAGTCCTTGAATTTGTCTTTAGTTCTTGTATCAGTCACATTCTGTAACAATTTATCCTCAGTTGTAGGATTCTTAGATTATAACAAATTTTGAGGAGAAACATACACGTATTGGTTGCTGATGTACCAAATCAGGTAATTTAGAAGGGATTTTCGCATCACTTTCTTCAAAATTAATATCGTTCTAAAATGCTATTCGATTTTATACTCCAATTGACATACATGAACATATTCACTACCTAATGTTACTTAGAGTAAAAAAAACTAGTTACTTTTATTGGGCATTTCCGTTAATGAATCATCACTTTCGACAATGATGCGTCTGCGTTTTATGCTTTTATGTGAAGTATTGTCAGGTGGTTTTGAACTAATCATCTTTTCCCTTACGACAGAATGTAAGCAATAATTTCAATACTACTTATTTGTTTCCTCAGTTTCTTTTTTTTCACTCCCGGAAAAGAATGATCTACGGTAAAAAGAACTTCAAAGTTAGAGCATAATAATTTAAGTCAGTTAGAATAATAAGTGGCTTAACTGGTTTAATTTTACTTAAAAATGTTTCAGTGGCTTGATATAAATCCTTTGAACAACAAATAATAGTCTAAGATTGTAAGAGTGTGTCTGAAATCAGACGGCTAGGATTGGAAACAGAGGAACAGACATGAGATATATTTTGGCACGTGATTGGTAAGACTTCCAAGCACCCCTCTGATTTATACTAAATCAAGATACGTATAATTAGGTACTTAACATGGTATTTGAATAAATTGAAAATCATATTTAGATATAGATGAGAAATGTGCTCTATTGAGCAGGATGATGAAGTTTAACACTCTTCGAATATTCCTGATGAACAAGAGCTCAAATACTGAATGGAAACATTTCCACTCACATACAGGGGAATACTGGGAGTATCTTTGTTGATCCTTGGAGTTTATGAACGAGAATTAATAATGAGCAGTTGAATAATAAAGTACTATGTTGAATATACCTCCGGACTCAGCATATTTAGTGTTTTCCACCGCTAAGTTAACATGAGAAAACAGTAGAGCACGGTAGTCAGACTAGGTCAAATAAAGTAAACGGAATATAGAACACGATAGCGTAGTATGTAAAAGTCAAGAGAGCACCTATGAATTAAGATAACCATATCAGTTGCTTAAATTATCAAAACTTGTAACCCTAGAGCATATTTGATTAGATTTACCAACCACAGTATGCTGATATTTAGATATAGATGAAATCGGGTTACTTTGAATCATTAGATTAGTATGATATCGTTGATGAGGCAACGTTAATTATAAGTGCGAGGTTTTGGACAACTCGATCGAACTGCGATAAAGTTAGGTCGAATAATGTTAATTAAGCTACTTACAAAGATGCGTGTTGTTGGATGATGTACATGCATGTTCATAAAGCGACTGAGTAGTTGGGTATATTTATGTCTGTTCACATAATCAACTATTGTTGGTTTAATTTTTGTAGGCTTTATAGATGAAGTAGCTGAAACCTTAAGATTCAACTGGAGAATTCGGATTCGAATTCATCATAATATTTCCGATGCACATATTTTTGAACTTTGTTTAGAATTGCAACCAGTTTACATCTTTCAAATGTTTCTCCTTATCAACTCTCATCTTTTATCTTAGAAACATTTTCATCCCTTGGAGTTAACAAAAAGTGGCAAACTGAACTGATGAACTAGTATAAGACTTGACGCTTGATTGACTGCCATGTTCACCCTAAACTCAGGTCTTCTGACTTCACATCACCAAAAATATGACCTAGTATCTATGATATTTTGTAAGTGTAGAAGGAAATAACGAAGTTTTACAAATCTGATCATGTGAAAAACGTCATTGCATCTAATTTGACCATGACATCAGTCGAATAAAGTTAAGTGTTTGTTTGGTAGGTTCTTTTGGATTTCAACTTCTATCGTTGGTTTAACCTTAACATGTAGGCCGAACACAATAGAGAATATTGGCTGCAAAATAGGGTCAGAGCTAATATTCTCTTAGATTTCAAAAAGTATTATTGAGAAGCGTTGTCAAACGAAGTATATTTATTTATTTGAACACATAAATATTGGTACAAAGGGGCACCGAATACAAAAGCGCCACACAAGTCACTTGACTTGTGTGGATGTGATAGTGCACGGGTGCCTAGACCAAAACAGGTGGTTTTATTAGGTGGTTTGATCCATAAGGCAGTGGAGCAACGTCAGGAAATGCAGCCCCAATGTAGCCGTTGACCAACAATAGATTCATTCGCCATGTGTTCCACCAGGGCCCCGGAACCCGTGTGCACTATTGGTTCGGAACTAGAACTTTCCAACAACCCCAGGTGGATCCTCCGTGTCCATCAGTCAGTCAGTCAGTAACAACGTAGAACTTCGTACGTACGTACATCAGTTCGAGTTGCCACACCACCTTAACACAGAGATGCAGTTGTCGATCCAAATCCCGTAGTAGTAGAGGTAGCAAGAGTGTAAGCAGTGATCGGGAAGATTAGGGTTTGGAGATGTTATTTAAAGAGTATAATTCAGTGAAATAAATTTGGAAAGAGGAAAAAAGGGACATGAAGAATTCAGAAGATTAGAATTTGGGAGAACATAGAGAGTGGATGCACCTGCGCCATTGCAAACGATTTTGAGCCATGTCATTCAGGGTCTCTAACCATCGGTTGCTATCATCTCGCGGTCCCCAACCAGGTAGTCTATGCCTATCAACATGACTCAGACCACTTGTCAGTGACTTCATGTCCACCGACCCGGTTGAAGCGCCAGACATTCGCTTTTCGTCCTCTCAATGTTGAAAACAACACCCCCGCCGAGAGAAGGCAGTGAGTAGGACTTCTCTGGCAGTATCTGTATACGCATGGCCATGTGAGAGCATTTCGAAAGGGATAACTCTACCCACTCTAGGCCATACCAGGGCATTTGGGGGCGGTCAAAAGAAGAATAAATCGAAGCTTGAAGCCCAGCTAAAGAAACTGGTAATGATGTTGAATAGGAGGGCATTATATGGAAACTACTATATAAACTTGTTTTATTCTATGGAGTCGACTCAGTCAGTTGTATTTAAAATTTGAGTAATGAATGATAAGAGAGCTTTAATTAATGAACACTTTTGATTAGACTTGATAAGCTGCGGTAGAAAGAGATGCTATCAAAAAACAGATGATAAAATTCCCTAAACAATTTTCGATGAATTCAAATGGCTGTTTACTTCGATGCATTTTCTGAAGACTATACACCCAAAACAAGTGAAAAACAAATCTTTTAATTGTTCTTGATTTAAGATATTCCAACATACTGAACATGAAAACAGACCGTCCCCAGCTACCAGTTGCTAATCAGAGCTTAATTGAAGAACTCTCCTTCTTAAACATGCTAGTCAGTAATATGCCCGTTCCAGAAATTGAGATAAAGCCCATTGCGCATGACATTTCAAGCCTTTTTAACAGAACCGAAAATCATGCGGAAAAAATCAGGAAATGTCGCGCCTCTAACCATTTTCATCAAATACATACATGTTTGTTCAGGAAAAACATCAGAAAACTTCGGTGATAATACGAGACCTGAACGAAAAGTGCCATCCAAAGATTATTACGAAAGTACTTTTTGGAAATCAAGTAGCACATAACTCCTTATATGAGTACACAAATTTTCGGCTCCATAGGCTTTAGGGAAACCACATGAAGTGAAAATTTGGTTTCTAGACAAGAAACCCAACATCCCTATAATGGGGAAAGTTTTATCCAGTTTGGGTAGATTTTGGGGAAAATCCCAAAAGTGTCTAGAGAAACTTCAGGGTTAACTTTCCCGAAAAACAGGGAGATTGGAATTCTAAAAAACAGGCAATGGTTACCAGAACCATTTAGCTATATGACACTAGTAAAAATATTCACTCGCAAATATAGCCTAATACAAACAATCATGAAAGTATTTAGATGCACTGTTTTAAGATACATTGTTTCCAGACACATAACTCACAAGATTGATTTCTGCGGCATGTAATAAAAAGTATATCTGAATATGTAGGGATGGAGTTTTGGTGCAAACTTCGTACGAAAAGACCCTGAGTAACTTATAGAGAAAAGACGATTGCAGGCAAGCCGGACACCACTTGCCAGATTGAATTGAACAGCCCCCTCAAGCAAGGTCACTGCGCAACAACCTTTTAAATCTGACTGCTAGCGAGAATTATAATATAATTCGACGAATAATGAAGATCGATAACTACTATTTTCGAGCATTTTTCAACTCATTTGAAGGGTCATTATTGCATATAATAGTATAAATTTTATTTAAGCTATTATTTCAATCATCTAAGGCTATCTATATGTGTTTTATATGAACGTGTATCTGTCGTGAATCAGAACTCCCTGGTTAATAATCGAATAGAGTAAAAGTTATTTTTTAAAATGAAGCTCTTAACAAAAGTTACTATCATATAACCATCACTGATATAATTATTGAGTGTAAAAGTGTGTAGGGCCAGTGAAATTCCACTGAGCCCTAGCTAAATCATCCGGCAGTTAGGTCATTGGATGTCGAACAAATCATCGATCCACGTCAAAGTCAAGGACGACCAACGCGCATCAGTTAATCGTACGCCATGAACTGACCCATGAGGCAGTGGTCATACTTTCGTTTGTATCTACTTTAACTAATATATTCCTGTAATAACGTCCAAAGTATCTAAAGTACCTTGATACGTCAATAGGGTAATCCATGTAAGGTGCTGACCACCAGGTGTGACTTCGACGTTAGCTTGTTTGTCACACCATTCACGTCTAACCCGAGTAGACCTCCAATCATTTAGACATAGATCATCTGCGTTGGTGATCTACAAGTGCTAGGTATTTCACATATATTCCAAACCATAAGAAGGAGAGCTTCGTGTTTCTTGTTATGCACAATATCTCCAGAGAATGAGGTTAACTGAATTTGACTTTGTGTTGGTAATTCGGATCAAGATGAACACCTGAGATTTATATCCATTACTTAAAACAGCTATAATTCAAGTGTCGTAATATTTACGATCTGAATCCGATCGCTCCCACGGTAGCTCTTTTATTTGTCTCTATTGTTTCCCGATTACGCAGATGATTGAGCTTTACCGGAACGTGAAGAGGAAGAAGTTTGAGTTCGTTCAGTCTAACATTCAAAGTCTACTAATTGCAGCATGTGTCATTTCATCTGTAAGATAACTAAAATGTGAGGACGAACCACGAATGAACTCGAGGAGACTGTAGAAGGCTCAAAAGGAGCCGAAGATATCCCATTCAATCACCTTTTGGAAGAATGTTCCAGAATTCCTACGTCTAGCTTACCGATTGAACAATGTTAATAACCCCCTTTATGCTGCTCGGTGGACTGTAATGATAATTTTGTTCTTACTAAAAACTATAAATACCTGACAATCTTGTATTATAATTGACACTGTCTAGGAATAATATTCCTTTCATTAGTCTTCTGTTTTCTTATTGCGACTTGAAAGAGTTCTGGTGTTCTAATGCTCACGTTAAACGCGGTATATCAAGAACAACTTTATAGATATAATAACTTGCGATGGGGTGATCGTACTAAGATGTCATTTACCTTTCAACAATTTGAAATATTTCTGGAACAACAAGAAAAATGATTCTAACAGTTCCAGATTCGCGTGATAAAGACACTGACCCAGAAAATGAACCTGAATCAAAAAGAAGTTACAGATGATCCCTTCACATCTCATGTTAACCACATCATTAATTCTATCCATGAATTTAATTTCAATGGTTCGGCTGGCATTACTTTTGAAACATGGTTCACGAAATATGAAGATTTGTTCAAGGTCGACCTCAAAAGCTTGATGACGCCGCTGAGGTCAGAATACTCTTACGAAAACTTGGAATGGGTGAACATGAACGTGACAGTAACTTTATCCTCCCAAAGAATCTAAAAAATTTTTCTTTTGATGCAGCGATTGAAATTTCGCCGCAAGTCCTTGCTGAACAATCATCCTATTTAAATATATAAGTTATCAATGTCTCAAGATAACAAAAGCAGGTGATACTGACTAGGAGAAGCATACGGGGTTAGTAAACCGTGAATGTGAGCGCTTCAAACTATTAGCAATGATAGAATATCAGTTTGAGTGTCTCGTGTTTGTGTGCAGCTTCCAATCTCTCGAAGATGCTGATATTAGAACCAGAATTTCGAGTAAAATTGAACAATATCCGAATATAACACTACATGAAGTAACCATAGAGTGCTAGAGATTGGTAAACTTAAAACATGACACTTCCATGGTCGAAAATAATGGCCAGTTGCCTTACGTTCATGCTGTAATAGGGAAGAAAGATTCTTGCTCAAGAAAATTATTGCACACAGACAATCAGTCTTCATCCTTATGTTGGTCATGTGGAGGTTGGCATTATAAGAGGTTCTGTCCATATAGAGAACACTGTTGTAGCAAATGTCATCGGAATGGCCATAAAGAAAACCGCTTCAGGTGAAGAACCCATAAGCGACATTCTTCGAAACCCTACTCCAAGAAATACAGATATTGTGCTCTAGCTAACAAAATATTGGTATCACATAATCGAGCACAAATTTAACGCCAACGAAAGTAGGTAAACTGAAATATAAATATAAGGCTCACCCTCCCGCAGCTCGACACTGCTCCCGACATCACACTTATTAGTCGAAAAACCTGGAATCTTATCGGTAAACCACAGGTGCTCCCAACAACCCAGTTAGCTCATAGTGCATCTGGAGGGAAATTAAATATTGTTGGAGAGGTTTGTTGTGCAGTTTCAAAAAAGACGCAAAGACGAATGCAACGTTATATCCCACAGAGAACCCAGGACTAGATTTGCTGAGTCTAGACCTAATAGAAACACTACGATTAGCAAATCACTCCATTAACCACATATGCAGCGCCGTGAGAACCAATAAACCAGTGGAAAAGGATCTGAAGGGTGTTGTGTTGGAAAGACATAGTTAAGTGTTTACGGAAGATTTGGGGGAGTGCAAAAAGGTAAAAGCACTACTTATTCTTAAACCGATAGTTCACCTCGTCTTCAGACCAAAACGTCCGTTACCCTATGCAGCGCTGCTTTTTGTTGAACAAGAATTAGAACGTCTGCAAAGAAGTGGAATAATGGAACCAGTAAACTTTTCTGATTGGGCAGCACCAATAGTGATTGTCAAAAAGCCAAATAGAAGTATCCGGCCATGCTCAGATTATTTGACTGGATTAAACGAAGCACTTGAAGCCCATCAATACCCTTTGCCGGTACCAGAGGATTTATTTGCAAAACTGAATAGGGGTATGTATTTTGCAAAATTAGACCTATCAGAAGCTTATCTACAGATTCCAGTAGCGGAAGAGTGTAAGCATTACTTGACAATAAACACTCATAAACGGTTGTTCTGATATAACAGACTTCCTTATGGAGTAAAGACCACCCCTTCAATCTTCCAACAAGCTATGGATACTATGTTACAAGATATTACTGGTACCGTGGTCTATCTCGATCACGTACTGATCATGGTTACAGACTATGCTGATTTAGAGAATAAGGTAGACACATTTCTCAGACGCATAGCAGATTATGGGTTCAGATAAAAGGAAGGTTTCTGGCGTTCTAGTGCTAACGTTATATGCGGTAAATCAAGAACAACCTTCGAGATATAACAAAAGCCTTACTCACTTTTCTTTTTCATTTGTGCATAGTAACAATTTTATTCCTACTTTATTGCTTATGGCTATCGAACGCTTTTAGCATTCAATGGAATTATATTCAATGTTCTTACTGAGTTGTTGACTAACTGTTTCTCTAGTTCTTTACTTTTCAAGACTCTCGCATGTGTTGAATTAGTTATATTAAGTAGTAATTCCCATAACGTCCCAAGTTATACTTTGTTGGTCGAATATAAACCAGTCTTTAAATTGGGGAGAACTCTGCAAGAACAGTTAATGTTATTGTATTTTGACCCAGAGTCAGGGGCGAAATAAGACACGGAGCAACCACTGGTACAAACAATCATTACACTGTCCCTATACGCAATGTGTCTTTGGGCTGGACGAGAGATACCGAAGCCAAGCATTACCTCCGTAAGCCTTGACGGGTTCGATTTTGTTCTGCGTGTTGTATCGCATAATTCATGGTTTAATGGTAGTCGTTAATATTTCAATTGGCCCAAATGTGGTTATTTGTGCAATGCTATGTTGGTAATACATTTTTAGTCTGTGTTGTATTCTTATCAATTCAAATTGTGATACATAGTTCCCACTAAAGTCACATTGTTATCAGTAGTTAGAACCAACCATTCAAAATTGAGAAACAAATCTTGAGGTGATAGGGTCTACTGCCATTGTGGCACCACAATCCATGAGCAGCACTATTGGTTTGTGTCAAATGACCTATGCTCGTGGTCTAGAACTGTACGCAGTATGGGAAAATTTAGAAAAAACGAGTGAAAGTGAAACGTAAGGCTTTACCTACAATGGAGGTACTCTTACTCACCCCACGCCACGCTACAAGTCAGTGGTGACAGTGGAATAAATTACATAAATAAACAGAATAAGTGAACAGTAGAAATTGGTAGAAGAGGTTTCTCACTAGCCAATGATATCACTATTTTCCTGTTTGTTGCACGCAATGTTTCATCAGGGAACTCTGTGGACAACACATTGTGCATGAGCTCTAATTCCTTGTTAATGGTATCGACTGAACATATAGTAATAGCTTTACTTGCCAGATATTTGACTAAGTTTCTCTTTTAATGAAGGGATACAAAAACTAAGAAATGTGTGATGGTGATGGAGAACTTTTTCTGTTCACACTTCTACTGATAGAACCGTTCTCTTTTCTGTTAAACAGAAAGCCAAGGAAATGTAATCCATAATCTAGTTCCTCTTCACATATAGATTTAATTGCTGGATGTTTGTTGTTAAACGGTTTTAATAGTTCTTCTTTTTCAATATTCTGATCGACAATAATGAAATTGACCTCGGGAATTCCAATACTGATTAGTGTTTCAAGTAGTTGCTAGCATTCAACAGTATTAATGAGAGACACATCCACCGTTGTCTTCAATTAGTTACTATCTCACAACAAACCCAGTTGAACTCCACTGATTACTGCTTATCACTAAAACTCCAAGAAGTACCAGACAG